TATCCTCAGGTAGTGCAGATTCAAGTTTATTCAAATCATGACCCCCTGGGCTAGGGTGGGGCCAAAATGGCCGACCCAAGTTTTACATAGGAATATATAGGAAAAATCTTTAAAAATCTTCTTCTCCAGAACCACTGGGCCAGGAAAGATGAAACTCATGTGGAATCATCCTCAGGTAGTGTAGATTCAAGTTTGTTCATATCATGACCCCCGGGGCTAGGGTGGGGCCAAAATGGCCGACCCAAGTTTTACATAGGAATATATAGGAAAAATCTTTAAAAATCTTCTTCTCCAGAACCACTAGGCCAGGAAAGATGAAACTCATGTGGAATCATCCTCAGGTAGTGTAGATTCAGGTTTGTTGAAATCATGACCCCTGGGGCAAGGGTGGGGCCAAAATGGCCGACCCTTGTTTTACATAGGAATATATAGGAAAAATCTTTAAAAATCTTCTTCTCGAGAACCACTGGGCCAGGAAAGATGAAACTCATGTGGAATCATCCTCAGGTAGTGTAGATTTAAGTTTGTTCACATCATGACCCCCGGGGCAAGGGCGGGGCCAAAATGGCCGACCCTTGTTTTACATAGAAATATATAGGAAAAATCTTTAAAAATCTTCTTCTCGAGAACCACTGGGCCAAGAAAAGATGAAACTCATGTGGAATCATCCTCAGGTAGTGTAGATTCAAGTTTGTTCAAATCATGACCCCCGGGGCAAGGGTGGGGCCAAAATGGCCGACCCTTGTTTTACATCATAGGAATATATAGGAAAAATCTTTAAAAATCTTCTTCTCCAGAACCACCGGGCCAGGAAAGATGAAACTCATGTGGAATCATCCTCAGGTAGTGTAGATTCAAGTTTGTTCAAATCATGACCCCCGGGGCTAGGGTGGGGCCAAAATGGCCGACCCAAGTTTTACATAGGGATATATAGGGAAACCTTTTAAAATCTTCTTTTCAAGTTCTTCAAAGCTATGATTAGTGATACATGTTTTGATATGGAATCATCCTCAGGTAGTGTAGATTCTAATTTGTTCAAATGATGAACGCCTGGAGGGGGGGGATAAATTCAAGCCCGATGTGCTCAGGTGAGCGCTGTGGCCCCTGGACCTCTTGTTACATTTGTCTTGTGTATTCATAAAATACATTTGAGAATTTTCAGTCAATTTAGTCTTTAAAAAATTACACTTCTTTTTAATTTAAATTACCTCCATTCATAAAAAACTAATTTGAATAGAGAGATAAAAATAAACTACAAATGCATTTGCAGACAAGAAAAAATAATCTCTCATCGCATAATTAAACGAAATGATTATATTTCATTTCAGCGAAAACCAAAAACTGTCTATTGGGAGAAAAGCGTTGTCTGGACGGTTCCTGCGTCCCATCTGAATGGTTCTGTGATGGCGAGATAGACTGTCCAGACAAAAGCGACGAACAAGTCTGCGGTGGGTATCAGAACATTATGTAAGAATTATTTATGCTTGTTTTCCTTTCACAAATGGCCTTGCACTTTTCTGAATCAAATCAGAGCATGCGACTTTTTTCATCACACGTCTTCCATGGAAATACCCCTGGTATATAACATATAAAACTTTTATTGACTAATTATGTAATAAATTCCTCTAAAGAATTACAAAAACTTGTGTTTGGATGAATTATACTTACATTTGAAGGACAGTGTGTGTCTGGTGAGTTCAGGTGTACCAATGGAGAGTGTATATCGACTTACCTAAGATGTGACGGCAAGCCAGACTGCTCGGGGCATGAAGACGAGACTGACTGCTGTAAGGACCGATCATATAATTAGGAACATTTACATTTGTTAAAATATAAAATACGTTATCTTTGATAATTTTTTAAATAAATTTAGTAAAATAGCTGTACGTTTTTTTCTGCAGTTTCCTTGAATGACCATTCAGAGATACTCGTCAAGTACAACAACAAGGACCTGCCTATATGTCGAGATACATGGGAAAACAAACTTGCTGAGTTAATTTGTTCAGATTATTTCTTCAGGTATAAAAGATCAATGATCATATATATATACTTAAATCAACATTAAATGGTTTTGCTTTTTTCCATTCAATAAACACTGAGAAAAAAAGCATTACAATTTGAATACAAGTATGTCCTATATAAAGTATTGAAATGTCAATATCAGATGAACAAAGATCAAGTTTAAGCCAATGCTATTTGTCAAGCTCAAACTTCTTTTAAGTACTTGATCCTATTTCAACTCTTTCATTTAATCTGAATTTTTGCTCTGTTGTCGATTAGTATTGTTTATATTTGTTTGTTTGTTTGTTTGTTTGTTTATTGGCACTTCTAGAAGTTTTCACTCGCGTATTGAGACGCCGCCGATTGCAGAGGATGAGTGTACTTAAGCTCTGAGAGTTGGGTCCCTGGGGTTTGCGCAAAATGAAATCCCGAATTTCATGAAATGTATGTTTTATAGGTATTAAACAATGTCTTACGATCGGGTTTTGGTATATCATATTACAAGAAAATACTAAATAATGCCGAGCGACACTAGCTTTTGAGACGGGGTCTATAACAGTTTTGTCACATTTCTATTGTTATTCAAATGCATACCAGTTTTCAACATTGTTTACATAGAGCCACAACTTGGCCATTGGTCTCATTTGCACAAAATGTGTATTTTTATTTAAACTTATACATATCCAAAGGACAATGTTGGCGAAGTTGCGGCTCATATCTAATTTTTCGATAAAGTCTCCAAACTACTGTAAAGTTAGCCACTAAATTAACAGGGCCCCAAGTGTTATTATAATCACTTTACTCACGTGACATTCCACGGTTCGATACGCCAACGCTTTCATTGAACATTTCATTGTGTTTGTCATTTGAATTTTCTATTCGGACAGTATCTATTTTACTTCCAGCTTCAAATTATGGACGATTTTTGTGCAAATTTTGATAAGGTTCGAAGATTATATGTCTCTTATTTTACTGTGTATTTTTCGTTAGGGGTGTTTTCAAAGAATTATGGTATTGGTAGTGAGATTAGTAAATATAGGTTTATATATCAGTATTATGGTCTGCTGGACGATACATCTACCCTATCCCTAAGCACTAGAATCATTTATTATTTGTGCACCATGAAACTACACAATCTCTCTCTTCACCATTTAAATTCGTAGTGTAGCATCTGATTGCGAAAAAATTGTACGTGCTATTGTTTACATTCCACATGCATGCGATTTAATTGTTCCCGCCTATTTGCGAGTAATAGTACCTTAAGGATAAATAACACAAACAAACTTTTTTTCAGAAATCAGCATTATTTCTCATAGATTTACATTTAAATTGACAACCTGAATAATGTTTACCAAGTAGAGTGGGAGAATTTTATAAGATTTTGTCATAAAGTTAAAAAATTGTGCAAAATTTTGTATGGAATTATATAGAAG